TGCTAGAAAACATTCAGTGATTATCTTGATTATTTAATTAAATTATTTAATAGATTAATAATTAGATTGATTATTCATTAGATTTATTGAATCTGGTGCAAAGACTGTGAAGTTTGAACTCTATCATACTAAACTAAATTTTTAAGGTATTTTTCCCTCAGTGCTTTATATTTTCTTAAGTTTTATACATTTTACTTTTTTATATTATGCAATAAATAGATATTAACTGTAATTCGACTGAAATTTATTTAAGAAAAAAAAATTTTTTTTTTTTGTGATAACATCTGAAATTGGTTTTTCTGGCAACTTAGTTTCTCATGATAAAAATCTATATAGAAAATATTTTCTAGAAAGAAAAAGTGCATTTTTCAATTCTCCTATATATATAGATTTAAAATGTGGGAAAAAAAAAAAAAAAAACGCAATTTTGGAAGCGATTTAGGTCTACAAATTGAGCAGTCAGAGGGTTAATTCTAAACAATATAATGGTGGTATTAGATTTATTCTCAATTATGATACATTCATAAAAAGTAATTTTCATTTCATTGCAAGACAAGTTTCCTTTAGCAGTGCCTGTACTGAGAGAAAACATGTACATGGATGATATCTTGACTGGAGCTGAATCATTAAGCTCTGTATTAGAACTCCAAAATCAGTTAAAAGATCTTTTGAAAAGTGGAGCTATACTCCACAAGTGGTGTAATAATGCGATTGAACTGTGAGAAACAAATGATAAAATATGCCCTTTTGATGAATCTGAAGAACCTAAGGAATTAGGCATTTTTTGGTAGTTAAACAGATTATTTGGGCTTCAACATTATTATCAATAACAACATGAATGTCACTAAGCAGCAACTGTTATCTGTCATATTTCGCATCTTTAACCCTTAATTAATGTAATATTTCGCATCTTTAATCTGGATGTAGTAGCCCCAAATATAATTAAAACAAAAAAAAAAAATTAATGGAAAAATTATGGTTAATAAAATTGAACTAGAATGATATTCTGCAAGAAAAGGAGGCTAAAATGTGGAAGAAATTTTCCACTGCCTTGTAGTTAATTAACAACATTGAAGTCAATGGATGTATTTTATTACCAGATAAAATCAAGATAAGAATTACATGGCTTCTCTCATACCTCAGAGCCAGACTATGGAACATTTATCTACTACAAAGACACATCAGTGAAGTTGGTGCACAGTAAATTTCATGTCTTCCCTCCCCAGAAGAAGATTACAATCCCAAGACTCAAGCTCTGAGGAGAAGTTCTCTTGGTTTAATTAATACATCGAATGAGATCATTGTTGAAATTGAAGCTTTCCCACTATTCACTTTTGGAGTGTTTCTATGATTGTGTTGTCAAGGGTTAAATCTGCTTAAAATGTTGTTGCAAACTGGATTTCAAAGACTCAGAATTTTACTGAAATTGAGTACTGGCATTACATTGTTTCTGAAGAAAACCCCATCTGATCTCAAATTTAAAGGTATGATGTTAAAAAACTGCAATTAAGTCAAGTGAAGTGGAATGGACCTGACTTCTTTATGAAGGCTGAGAACCCTAACAGAACTGTACCTGAAGCAGTAAATGAAAGAGACAACAAAGAATTTAAAATTTATGCTGACTCTGAACTAGTAACATGTTTAAATCTAAACCTGAATAAATTTGTTTATGATTTATTAAATCCTAACAAAAAGCATTTAAAATTAATTTGTATTTTAAGTTTTCATTTTAGGTTTTATAAGAATAGTAAGCTAGTACCAAAGAAGGTAGATAATTTACAAGTGGAAGAATTAAATGCAGCTGAAGAAAATTTATTAAGAGTAGTGCAAAGTGAGTATTTTACCAGTGAGATAAACAGTTTTAAAAAAGACAGGCTAGTTCAATTCAGAATCTTAGTCCCTTTACTGACAATAATGGATTAGAATAAGAGGTAGCTAATGAAATGGCATGAAACTTACGAGAAAAATTTCCTATTATTCTGCCATCTAAACATAAGTTACCAGAATCCACTACCATTTTAAACTAGCATATGGGTTTTGCCATACTAGCATATAGGTTCTCTACTTTTCTTATATCATATAGACAAACCTTTTGGATTTTAAATGGTAAAAATGTTAATAGGAAAGTTGTAAAACAGTGCATGATAAGTTTCAAGGCTAATCCAACAATAGCTCAGCAAATCATGGGTGATCTACCCAAGGAAAGAATTACAGCTAATCTCACATTTAACTGCACCAGAGTTGATCTCTGTGGTCCGTCCTTATTTAAATATTGTATATATATCAGCAAGTTTATGTATATATATATATTCATTTGCATGATCGCTTAATGCATTCATTCGGAAATGGTAGCAGATGTAATGTCTGAAGCATTAATTGCTGCCTTGAAACCTTGAAATGCTTCTTTGCCAGATGAGATAACTGTCCAAAACTATTTAGTGATAATGCTATTAATTTTGTAGATGCAAATAAAGAATTTTAAAAGTTAAATAAATTAAGAATTAACCAAGATGTGCTTTTGGCTGGCAACTTAAGTTCTGACAATATCAAATGAAAATTTCTCCCTCCCAGACAGCCCAATTTTGAAGACCTTTTGGAAGGCTGGAGTGAAGTTTAAGTATCATTTCAAACGTGCCATAGGTAATGCAAAATTGACTATTGTTAACAGTTATCTAACAAAACAAACAATTCTTAACAGTTATGACTCAAATTGAAAGAATTTTAAATTCCTGAACACCGACTCTTTTGTCTTTGGACATCAATGATTTAGAGCTCATAATACAAGGACAATTTTTGATTGGTAGAGCAAATAACTAAATTCCTGGGCCAGATATCATGAATGTTAATATTAATAGGTTAAAATTAAGGCAGCAAATCACAAGTTTGGTACCAATTATCTGGAAAAAATGGAACTCTAGTTAATTCACTCATTTACAAAATTGATCTAAATGGCAAAACTCAAAGAAGAATATAAATATTGGAGATATGGTCTACATTAAGGATAATTTGACTTGTTGTAACTGGTCAATTGGTAAAATGATAGAAGTATTTTATGGTTAAGATGGAAAAATTTGTGTGTGTAACGTAAAAACTCAGCCTGGTGCATTCAAACAACCAGTTACAAAATTAGTTGTGTTACCACTACAAAAATGAGCATTGCTTTTAATGCTATTTTATTTGAATATGCTTCACATAAAGTATTGTTATGTAACTGAATTTCATGTTATATTATTCTTGGTTTATAGGTTGATTTATATGTTAAATGACAGATTAGGGTTTTAATGGTTTTATGTTAATTTATTTATATATATCTTAACAATGACTGTTTAAATGCTAATGCATTGCAATGCTGGGCAGTATGTTCACACATGCACCTCTGCAATGTAGCCACATACCCATGTGATATGAGCAAGAATTGCCATTGATGGCATATGAAAAAGTCTATGAATTAGCTCATTGAAAGCTATGAATAATTAATTTTATAATTGTGAGTTTGAGATATTGCGCCATTAATAAAAGACAGTTGCAGTCCACTTATGTGTTATTACTTTTGAGGCAAAACAGATACTCAGTCTTTGGTGTTTTTATGGGATCTTAGACAATCTGCCTTAAGGGAGGGATACCTTCATGGAAGCTTACAAAGAGAAAGTGGTTTATATAGACATAATATATGAGGAAAAAATGCTCATCTACTGCATTCAGTGCTAAGACTTCAATTTGAGTTAAACTACCAATTTTTGGTAATCTCAATTCTCAATTACTGGTGCCTCTTTTCTTCACAAATGGCCAACAGTATAAGTTTTCCAGTACCCAGAAAGTGTATGTTGTCTTCATTGCAGCTCATCAAAGTCTTGCAATTTAGAAACTTGTCCCCTTTCACCAACCCATTTTTTTTAGTGAATAAAAAAAAGAATTGTATCTTTCAACATCAGTGCTCAGTCATCTTTCATCTCATTCCCAACCAATGATTGACATTTAATCTAAAATTCATTTTTTATTTAAAATTTTTCTTAGCCATTTTCTTATGTAGACAGCTCTTCTGTGATCTGCTGCATGGGTGTTTTCGTGGTTTTCCCCATGTGTAACGTGTATACGAGCCAGTTTCCCTTAAAAAGTCCTCCACAAAGGCATCCCTCCCTTTAGGCAGATGGCCCTCGAGGCTTTGCCATAATCACACACACACACACTCCTGTGATCTGACATAACCCAAATAATCCTATTCCTTAACTATATTTCACTTAAACTGTTTTTAACGAACTCTGAACAATACAGCTAAATTTGAAATTGTTTGAACTAATTTACTCCTTTACCTAAATTAAAAAATAACATGAATAATTTAAATTTCTACAGTACAGGATCAAGTAAAATGGAAAACATTTTTTCTTTTTCAACACAAAAATAAAATAATGAAATGTCAATATACAGATTTTATCATATTATGACCATTTTCTACTAATCCAAATGCTTATTTTTATGAATATTGATGGTCTTAAATATTTTAATGGCTTTGAACACAGCATTTCATAAAAGAAATAACAAATATTTGAGGTTTCTTTCAGTTCAATACTTTCTGTTTCATCACCATAGTCCTGACATTAATTTCAGTGTTTACTTACAGGGTATTCTTACAGATAACAAGAATTCATACAATACTCCCAATTTTAGATTTTATTAAAATTTTAGAAGTCTTACATTTCATTCCTTGGAAAGCATTTAAAATTGCATGAAACCTACAGAATATCAAAAATTAATCTTATGTAACGAAATGTGTTTTAGTGAGTATGCACACACAGACACACATATTTTAAAAAAGTTAATATTTTATGAATCAAATTACTTCCAGAGCAGAATTAATTAATTCTTTCAAACCAGGTGGTTATTCTTACAGTATAATATGTGACTGATAATTAATTTTGACAAAGCTCTTTGCAGTGGCATGCGACTCCTTCAATCTACAAATTTCCCACAATGAAATTTAAACAATATACATTTATAGATACCTAAATCGAGGAACAACTTTCCATATAACGGCAAAAAGTGATTCAGGAGAAATTGCGCTTTTGCTACCCTGCCGTAATGATACCAGTGTTTTTCGTAATTCTTCAGCAAGAAGCCTGTTAACAAAAAAAAAAAAAAAAAAAAGCAATTACATAAAACTTCTGAATTTTACAATAAAATTTCTAAATTTTACAATAAAATTGACTGAACATAGACACAGTAGAAATAAGAAAAGTTTTACCATTTTAAGAAAAACTACAGCCTATTAAGCCTACTTCTGTAATGTCTGGAACAGCAAAATTACTTAAAAGTATACACAGATGTGAATAGTAATTTATTCAAACCCAAAATTTTATTACCGTCATTGAAAAAATAAATTTTCTTTGTGAAAAACAATTTTTAATAATCAACAGATTAAATTGGCCAAAATGCTAAAGCAGCAATTCAACATCAAATATACAAAAAGAAAGAACATAAAAAATTTTAAAAACTTGAAAAACAGTTTTATTAAATCAAGATATATTAACTCACTGCTAGCACATAAAATTTTGTACTTTTCTGTTAACAAGATGACACTCAGCGGCAACATAAATATTGGCACCAAAATCTAATTAGATGGTGGCAACCTTAATGATATATAAAGGTTTGCAAAAATAATTTTTTATATATAATAAATATAATATTTAAAACATTCACAGTGCAATGCCCTGCAATTCTTAGATTTTTTTTATGCAAAAGCAAATCATCATGCACATGGAACTGCTGAAAATGAAACTAAATGCGAAGCTAAAATGAAACTGCTGTTCTCCTCATGCACCCAGAGATAGTTTTCACTTAAAAAAAAAAAAAAAAAAAAAAAAGGATATTTGCACAAATTTGGCACTGCAAACATTAAACATTATATATATATGTTATCACTGTACAGCTGTTCATGATGCTGTATAAATAGGTAACCACATTTGCTGCACATTTGGCAAGTGATGCCTCATTAACAGAAATGAGTCAAAATTTTTCTATATGATGTTTTGAAATACTAATTTTTTAAATAACTTTCTTTAGCATCTAATAAAATTTTAGAATTTATTAGTTAATTTATCACTCAATAATGAATGAAAAAAGTACTTAATCTAAACAAACTTATTATTTCCTATATATTATATATATATATATATAATATATTATCATCTAAATAAACATATTCATTAACCCTTTCCAGCACGCTATGTTTTAAAGTTGGAATTTCCACACAAAAAAAGTTACGCAATTTAATCAGGCCAAGTACACAGGTAAAATTTTGTGAAGATAGCACTTATCATTTTAATTTTGTAGGTGTGCCCGAAACGGGCACACTGAATGAATAGTGCTTCGAAAAGAGTGCTGAAACGAGCATTGCTGGGAAGCACGTAAAAGAGTAAGAGATTTTGTCTATGATTAAAAAACACTAGATTCTGAATACCGTAGCAGATTTAGCATTACTCAAGGTGTGCCATGGGAAGGTCTGCTACTATACACCTCCTAAAAATGCTCATCTTGGTTATATGATGATTACATGCGTATGAATGGGAAAATGTAACTTGGGTATATGATATTTACATTATTCACATTTCATATTTACATTTTCGTCTATTTTTCTCATAGTAGTACTTTTCGAAGAAAATGACACCACCTTTGAAGAAGCACAACCCAATACTGCATGTTTTGCACATGTACTGGGATCCGTATCAAATTCACTATATGAAAGCAATTCGTGTAGCACTTTGGGTGCTTCAGAAATGGTCAGTCCTCTCCGATCTTATTTGAAAATATATTTAAAAATAAAAATTAAAAAAAAAAAAAAAAAAAACTAATAATATTATATCTACAATTTGAAATTATAATCTATAAAATAAAATTAAATAAATGTTTACAACTCAAAAATATTAAACGTAGTGCTAACAAAACTTCCTTGAATGAAAGTGAAAGAGAAAAAGAGAACTAACTGCTCTAATGAAAAACCAAACAGCTAACTGATAAAATTACCCCTGACCTTATAAGGTATTTCTCCCACTTTCCTAGCATGCCTCCGTGGTGTAGGGGTTCTGCATGTTGGGCCGGTATTCCAGAGGTCCGTGGCTCGATTCCCCACGAAGGCAGTTGCTAATTTTTCATATGTATGGCTTTTCTAATTAACTAATGTCTCTACAACCTTCAGAAAATCACCCCAACAATTGCTTAGTTGATAACCAAACTTTCCCTCTCCCCCCCCCCCTAAAAAAAAAAAAAAAAAAGAAAGAGAAAAACAGGAAATGAAACCAGGGTTGTGGAGTCAGTAGGGAAAATGACCGACTCCAACTCTGACTCCTGGAATTTTAAAAACTCTGACTCTGAAGACATATACATGGGTTACAGCTTATTTTTTTAATATAAAAGAAGTAATAGATGCTACAGAAAAAAAAAAAAAAAATTGATGACATAGCAAATTATTTATATTAATTAGCATTTATTATGAAATGGAAAAACTGGCATTAGTTATTTCTATAGCTTCGGCAAGATCTTTGTTGGAGGGGCCATAGATCCGATTCGATAAACTTCGGAGCTGAGAAGAGTCTTTCCACACTAGCTTGAGTAGGAGGAAGAACTGTTACTGTTAGGGCTACTTCTTTTAACTTTTCAGGATAGATTTTTATATGTTCTAAAAGAGGTGTCTAGCAAGCACAATCATATTTTTTTATTTCTTCAAAGGACGTGTAGAAATATTGTTTGTATTTTTTCATTTTTATATCTAAAGGCTCTTGGTTCTTTGTTTTCATTTGCTTTGCCTTAGCCTTTCCAATATTATCCAAAAATATTTCTCAAAATCTAATTCATCACTGGAAGAGGATGATAGAGACTCACTTGCAATGTCTGCAGTTAGCTGTCCTGATTTGAATTCTTCAAGTTTTCTGAGAATAATTTCATTCTCAATGAAAGTTCATAGATGGCTTTCCTTGCCTTCTTAATCTGTTCATCATCCAAGAAAATTCAGTTTTGGATCTACATATATTGAACCCAGCAAGATCTCATTGTCTAGCAAACTAGTTTCTCTTTTCTTCATTGAAGAAATGATTCCTTCTGCAATAAACCCATTTCAAAAAGGATAAACATCACATTCTTCCATTCTCGCCTCCTGTCAATTTTTCAGAGAGTAGCTCTTTTGTGGCTTTATACAGCTGTAGAAAGAAGGAGTTTCCAATTCCTGCAAAGAATCATTCCACAGTCTTTCCTGTTCGTGAAACATTAGGGTTGTCTACATCTTCTACAAAAGTTCTTAATTTTAACGACCTCTTTATCATCCAATATGTACTTCCTTATAGCGTTGCTTGATCAATAATTGCTCCTTTTCCCTCTCGCTTCCTAAGAATGCCATCAATTTTGGGAGTTCTTGCTGCTATTGCTGCTTACCTAAATGAATCAGTTTAATTACTAATGGCAAATATCACATCCATCCTCCTCCCTTATATTTACTTCTTAATATGTCACTAAAATAGAAAATAACTACTTATTAATGTATATAGTTCATAAATAAAAATAATAACTCAGTTTGTCATTAATTTTTTCAATTCTTTTAATTTCATTTCAAATTCAAACTGTCCAACAAAAACTGGAGTCGGAGTCGACCTGTTTTTAGACTCCAGCTTCGACTCCTTTTACCCCAAAATCTGCTTGACTCCGATTCCGACTCCACAGCCCTGAATGAAACACAGATGTGGACCCACCTTTCTATGTTAATGAGCTGATCGATGAGCTGCAAAGAAACAAAGATACAGCTGCCTCTCGGTGACCTAGTCTCTCAGTGAGCCCACTCTGGGCACACCTGATGTTCACCATTCGATTTTAGACAAGATGTCACGGTAAAAAATTAAAACTAATATAGAATAAGGATATTAGCAAACAGCCAAGAAAATAACATATAAATTTCTTTTCAAACAATTTCTTTTATATCCTAAAAAAAATCTGAAAGATTTCTTTGAAGAATGAAGGTTTTTAAAACTAAACAGAGCTAAAATATATGGGCTGGTTTGTGTTTGACTGCCATTTACTATAAACATAGAAGGTTCACAGTAACCTATATAAGGTATTTCTCCCACCTTTTTAGCATGCCTTCGTGGTGTGGTGGTCTGCATGCTCAGCGCATAATTGAGAGGTCCGTGGTTCGATTCCCGGTGAAGGTGTTTCATATTTTTCATCTCTCCGACGTCGAAATAACCTAATGACTTTATAAGTGGTGCCCAAACAGAAAAGGATGTTGGTTGATGATTCTCCTCACCCAGGGTTTGGCGATTGGATCCCCTAAAACCCCAGTCTCCCTTTAAAAGGGGGAGTATATAAGGTATTTCTCCCTCCTTCTTGGCATGCCTTCATGTTGTGGTGGTCTGCACGTTCAGCACATAATTGAGAGGTCCGTGGTCTGATTCCCGCTAAAGACATTGCATATTTTTCATCTCTCCAGCTTCGAAATAACCTCAAGACTCTACACCTAAAGTACCCTATAAATCCTTTATCCTTCAATTTTTATGTGCATACAGAAGGAAATTTTTAGGTCTGTCCAAAATGGGCACACCGTGCCACAAAGGCTTGATATAAAATGCACTGAAATAAGAACTTTGCTGACTTACTTTATACAAAGTGATATCAATCAAACCAGATGTAACTAATACAGTAAATGTCATCATCTTTTTGTCATAAATAAATATGACTTATTTACACAATTAATTTAATTACAAATACATGAAATTTACCAGAATGTGGAAATTCTATATAATGCCTGCTTTGTATATGAAACTATACAAATCTCTTTCAAATTATACAATAAAGCAAAAACACAAAGGTAACAGTATTCAATAAAATTTTAAAGCATCAATACATACAAATAATAAATTTACACTTTATAAGAATATCACAAAAGCAGATTCTGGATAGCTTACATTTCATCCCCATTATTTGCTTTCTTGATATGATTATTCTTTTTTCCATTCTTTGGGTTTTTACATTCTAAAGATGGTAGTTGTTTAAAATAGCATGAAAACTGCTGTATATTGCTGTAATAAAAAATTTTATTCTGTAAAATTCATGTTAAAAAGCCCATTATAAATCAAAGACATATTCAGATCATTAAATTAATTTATTTTGCTACTAAATAAATCCTGATAATGATAAATTTTAACAAGCACTAAATGGTAAAATTACATAGCAAATCTCTATCTATGAAGTACTTTCCAATTATTTTAGCTCGACAAATGTTTTTATCAATTATACATACATACATATCATTACAAGTTATATTATATTACTGTTTTTCTAAGCAATAAAAAAGGTTGTGTAATTGTTCACATAATAGAGGTCAGTTTTAAATTAATTTGAAAAATAAAATAGACAACTAAATTGTTGGCTTAATGGACATATAAAGCCCTAAGACTTCTCTTGATCAGATTCATAAAAACTGTTATAAGGAAAATTTATGTACTCTAAAATATGGTAATTAATAGCTTGAAAATAATACTTCCTGCATTTATCCAATTACTCAAATATGTATTTTTTTAATCAGGTTTTCTTTGAACTTAGAAAAATGGGGGTTTTCTACACAATGAAATCGCACATTTGTAGTATAACAATGTTTATCCACTTAGTTATCAATTTTAAATTTTAGATATGATTATGTTTTTACAACACATTTGCTTGATTTTGCTCTCATTTCGAATTTGTGCTTTCAATATCAGATTTTCCTACATATCACTACTACAGTAACTGTTCTATAAGTATTTCAAACTTTTCCAATGCTGCATATACATATCTGTGACAAACTAGCATAAAAGTCTGTGTGGTTTTTGAGAAATAGCTCCATATGCTCACAGGTTTGCTTTGGTTTGGATTATTTAATTATGGCAAAGCACGTATGGGCTATCTGCCTTAGAGGAGGAATTCCTTAATGGAGGGCTTTTCAAGGAAATCTGGCTAGTGGGAAAACTATAAAAACACCCATGCAGCTACTCTATTTGCCTGGAATCAAATGCAGGCTTAAATTACTAGTGTTCAGTGACTTAATCGCCCTACATGCTCAATAAGTTCAAGAATTCTTAAAAAAAAAAAAAAAAGATCGACTATACACTACACATAAAAATTCAGTATGGTGAATATGCATTCTACAGAAAGTATTAGCATATTTTTAAGCAATGAAAAGACTGATGACAAAGAAAATAAATAGTTACTTATCTAATCAAATTCTTTAGATCATATTACTATCAAATGCCATTCTCTTCTTCAAAGAAATTAAGTTGCAATATTAACTGAATTCAATGGAGTAATAAAAATATAGTATTTTCAGAATGAAAAAAAAAAAAAAAAAATCTGCAACATTAACAAAATTGGATTACTTTAAAGATGTGGATTTGATGCTAAAATTAGTTTCAGTACTGCTGAAGCTTAGACTCTTTACAAGCTATTTATCAAACTAAGATGAAGGACATTTATAAAAGACCCCAGACAACATATCCTGTTTCTAAAAACATTCTTAATTTAACAAATTTTTCAGAAATTATTTACTTCTTGAATTCTTTTATTTCTCATTATAATTAAGCAATTTTTAACATATGTTTGCTTATTTTCTTTCAAATAAGATTATTACGCTAGAATATTATGCCTACACCAAGTAAACTCAAACTCTGACGGGCTAATAGTTTTTGGAAGCATGAAATATCTCAGAGGTTACATTTTACAATCTTGGAAAGCTCTACTCTCACTGTTTAGTTTTTGAGACTTTCAAATACCTTAAAATGTCAAAAAGTTTGATGATAAGGGTAGAGTAAATAATGTTCGTAACTGGAAGAACATATTTTCGCAGCTTGGCAAATTTAAAAGCATATATTGCCTTAATGAATGCCCAATTTTATTTCATAAATGGTAATCCATTTATCACACCATTTTGACACTAAAAGAATTAGATATAGACAATATTTCAAATCATTATAAAATAACTCGGATACTGATGCAAGATAGCTAGCTTACCTTAATGACTGCAGAACAGCATTCATAAAGCAAGTATTACCTAAATTTCTAAGCCCAGCAACTCTGGCCTTACAATAACTTTTTTTGATGATACCCTGAAATAAATTTAAAGCATTATAAAAAAACATTTTCAATCTTTTTAACATAAATTACTGATTGAAAAATCTAGCATATACTTACTAAGTACTAAACATATAATATGATTTTAAATGTTACAAAATGACATAAATCAAATTTATGCAAAGTATCAAACACTTTTTTCAATATTTTTCCATTGTAAAATTATTAGGTTAATAATAATTCAGGTTTCAAGCTAAAACTCAACAAAATATATTTCTGGGAGGGGGGAAGAAGAAAAGCAAAATACGATTGAAAAATCATTAGTCAGAAAAATATACTCTTACCTTCATTTGTTCTTAACCACTGCATGAATAATTTCAACTTTAATTTTAGCTTGTAATGTAAATACTTGATAGCAATAAAATTTTTTACAAACAAAAGTGCGCTTATTTAAAAAAAAATAATAAAATAAACCTCAATAAAGCATCATATTTACAAATCAGAAGACTTTACAGAGCAGATAAATGAAGTTTCGCATACCAAAGTAGAAACAGGCTTTGAATAATAGCAGAAATTATCCCTCAATTATCTGATTAATTAGGGCACAATTAAAACATATTAGAAATTGTTTAAAAATAATGAAATATTAATTAAACAATACTTTTTTAATACTTCAAAAAATCTTTAAAAATACATATAAATAAAAAAATGAAAGAAATACAGAAATGCTATTTAAACAGTTATAAATACTGTATTTTTAATTCTCTTTGTAGTTAATTCTTACTTTTAAATTACTTTCTCTTATTTATAAAAAATTAAATAACTGATACTTAGTACTATTTTATACTGTATAAATTAACATAGTACAGTACAAAGTCTGTAATCCAGACGTCCATAATCCGGACCTCAAAGCTACAAACTTTATGCGCATGTGCGTTTAATGTATAACGGACGGTATAAGCTAGGCTAAAATTCATTTCAGTTAATGTTGCAGATTGCGGTGTTCCTTAATCTTCTTATTGGATCCGACTTATTATTTTTTTGCAGACTGTTAGAACAATTTTATAAAAATTAAACTTGAAGTTTTGATTATGTCAAAAAGAATTTCCAATTCTGGTGCTGCCAAAGGATCTACAAAGCGAAAGCATGTTTCGATGTCCATTAAGCAAAAAGTGGAATTGCTGCAAAAAATTGATAAAGGCCCATACGTCTCTCTCAAAATTATGCGAGAAGTATGGCATTGGAAAGTCTACTATATATGCCACAACAAAAAGGGAACTTTTTAAATTTTTTGTGGAAGCATCTTAAACAACTTGCATTGAAAGAAATACTTAAGGATAATAAAGTAAACAAATAAATATTAAGTTTTTTTTTTTAAATTTTGATACCCTTTAGATCATAATTGTTCTTTATTTCATTAATTACGATTTCATATTTTTAATTGTATAATTTCTGCATCCCATCTTACCAGATTTAAATTGTTGATCTATAATCCGGAAAAAACCCTAATCAGGAAGCGCCGAAGAGTCCGGATTATGGACTTTGTACTGTAGTAGGAAGTAGATATCTTTTCTAATGTCTAAATGAAGATGAAACTGAAATGAATGATGAAACTGAAGTTATTGCAGTTAATGAGTTTAATTTATGATACTTCAAATGCAAGGAGAAAGGAAGAAGAGTAACAACATACTCTATTTTGTACTACTTAAACTTTTACCTACAACCAGAACATTTATCGGGAACTAATAAATCTTTTCGCAATATAAGTACAGATTGCCAATCAAACCAAATCTAATTAAGCTTTAATCAAATTAACTAACAATATCTTCTAACTAAAAGAATACAGAATTATTTTACCAAAAAAAAAAAAAAAAAAAAAAAAAAAACATATCAAACAATTAAGTAAGAAATTATTAATATATACATTTCATACAAGTTTTCTTAAAAAAAAAGTATATAATAATAATTCTAATACACTAATAATCTGTTTAAATATGAATAAATATTAAAATACATAGAAAAAATAGAAATTTCAAAATCCTAATCAATAATACATTCTTACAGGAGTCTTAACACGTACTATTATTAAATATACATGAAACATTCATTGGTATAATAAATATATATTAATGTAATTCTGCAATTCAATATATTTATTTCTAGAGTGTATATATATGAATATTATTAAGTGAATACAGACTATTCTTATGTATTAAAACTTGCATGTAAAATATGCACATGTAACAACAAAATTTAAAGATTTAACGTTAAGAACTGGGAAAGTTTGAGTAATTGTTACAGATTCTGCTATACTAAATATAAAAAAAAAAAAAATACTGTTCATTACTTTTTTATATCGTTTACTTCTTTTATTTTCTTCTCCTTCAGCTATTATGCTTTGCCTTTTTGAGGGTTTTCCAGATTCCAAACTAAAGAAGTAAAATTACAAAGACTCATATATAGAGATCAAATTAGAACAAAAATCCTGAAAATACATTCATTAAATAACTAAGCATAAATTAAAAATATTACTAGTATTTATTTACATTAGTAATCACTTAATAATACCCCGAGTTGCAATATTTCCATACACACAGTAGTTTTAAAAAAAGATTGCTGTAATATTTTATATTTATTGCAAATTCAAAAATTTCAACAATATGACACTTCTCAATTTTAAGTATCATTTGTTTTCATGTAACTATCATTAAAATAAGTAAATAAATAAACATGACTTACTCATTTGAAAGTTGTAGCCTTTCACGCAAATAATTCAATTCTTTAACATCGTTTATTACAAAGTCATCACATAGGTAACTAAAAAGATTAATATTACTTATTTTCTTTCAATAAAATTTTAATGAAAAACATTAATAATGAAAACTAAAATGATTAAGCATCCTTTTAATTAAAAAAAACATACAAATTCAGGTTTCTTTCTAAAATGTTATAAATTATACCATTTAATGAGATAAAACTATTTGCAGTTCACTATTAGTCATTTCAGATAGTTCTGATTTATCAACAGATCTCAAAATAACTTATTACTGTTAGTAAACAATTATACATACATATAAATCTCTGTAAAAATTAAAATGTATCAAATCTTACTAATACTATGTAACAAAATTTAAAATATAGCACTAAATTCCAATTACACTCACTAGTATTTATATTTTATTAAATTTATATGTTTTAGTATGTCAACTTCACTTTAGATATAAAGAAAAATCAGAATCCGATGTATATTTACCAATATGCAGCATAACTATCACAATCCACACAAATCATATGTTCAACATTTTCTTCAAAATGTGCTTTAGCATGCCCATTAACATATCTGCAGACAATAAGTCATAAAATATTATTTAAAAAAAAAAAAAAAGATTAAAGGCGAGGTAAAAAACTATTATCAAATATTCTAAACATAATTGCATTATATGCATATTTAATTTTCTAGAAGCTCAGTGTAAATCAAATAACAATAAGAGACAACCATAATCATTCATATGCACAGTTAAACAAAAATATTACCTTCCACAGTTTACAACACCACAATGGATACATATCCATGGGCTCTTATTGGTATGACAAGCTGAAATCACACATAAAAAATTCATATTTAGTTTCCAAAACAGAGTTATAAAAAATTATATGCACTACATTTAAATTAATAATTTATGAAGAATGTCAAAATTTAAATATCTTTAAAGTTTATCTTAAAAGGAAGAAAGTAAAATGAATAATTAGTGGATCCGGGAATAAAATAAAAAGATATTTCAGGATTAATTTCTGATGCATTAATTTTCAAAATTTCCTTTCCAAAATTACCTAGATCATTGAATGTGATTCTGTAACATAGTAATCAGTTAAAGCAAGTAGCAAATTTATTAAAATTGCATTTTAAAGATAAAGTTTTCTACACAGTTGTGATTAATTTGGAGACAGTGGCCCATATGCTTATTTAAAGTCAATGAATGTACTTATCTATCGACTCAATTTTTGGAAGCATGAGAAACAATATATATGGTTACAGTTTCCAAAAGAAATACCAAAATTAATGTGATGCAATAATTATTAGTTTAATAAAATAGATTCCATGTCACATGTAAAATGTACCAGATGATACAGAAGTATAAAACATTAAATTGTAAATACATGCATATTATAACAGCATAATATATATATTATATATTTATATAATGTTAAACATTTTTAAAATCAGTAGCTCACATATGCACTGTATTCTAAAGTTAATAAGATTTTTATAACTTTTTTTTATAAAGCATTATATTAAAAATTTTATTAGTAATATGATTTTACCACGCCGTAAAATTCATCCAATTAAACAAAAATTTTTTTAACCTCCATTTACAACTTTTTTTTAAAATCAAAATTGGGCAATTTTAATGATGCATTTAACCATCATCAATTTTATGACAAAAAAAGTTGACAATAAAGCTTTCAATACACACCGATTACTTACCAAAGGTTAACTAACTGCATTCAATAGTTTTAATTACATATAAATTAACTATTAATTTTAACATTCAATAGTTTAATTCAATAATTAATATTAGTTCTACCATAACTTTCCCACAAGTCATAAACCAGGAATAAATCTTGAAGATATAACCATAATTCAAATGAACTTGACGAAATGCTAAATATTTCTAGTGCTAATACACAAAAAAAAATGGGAAATGGTATTAAAAATGTTATATTTAATGACCGAAAATTTATAACACATAAAATAACCTTGACAATTAGGAAACCCTTTAAAACATACAGGAGAACGGAAAGGATTCATTTTAAATCACACATGAAAAAATAAAACTACTAATTTTCTTCAAACTAATTATTCTGACAAAACAGTTACATAATATATTCATTAGCATTATACAATTAAAGAAGAAATAATGTTCTCATTCATCATTAAAATTGAATTAATAATTGAAATGATCATAAAATATTCATTTTCCTTTATTACTCAAAATTATAACTTGTTTTTAACATTTCGTTTAAAAAATGAAATTTTTTCTTGTACAATAAAAAAAATTCTGTGAATAAATATTTTTTAATATTTGAAGTAAAATTTTAAATTAAATCTTGGGATACAATTACCAGAATCTTATTTATACAATAAGAAAAAGCATTTTCAAGATTTATTAGACATTTTTTAAATTTTGTTTAGAAGTTTCATTATTCACACAATTTTTCAGCCTATTAACAAATTTCACTTAATGTTGTATTTGATGTATGTACTCTTAAAATAGATTAGTTCTAGTACACAAAGAAAATGTGTCAATGCATATCTATATTACTTCTAAGAAAAGGAAGCATATTTTATGTCTTTAAAATTGAAAACTGACTTTTATTAGCAGTCTTGCATATAAACTGGTCTCAAAACTGTTATTTTATAAATTCAGCTGTGTTTAAATCTATTTTTTTAATCATTATTATAAGGCAGTAAACTAGCAATTCTGTCCGAATAAACTGAAAAAAATTTTAATATTTGCCAGCTTCACCAAAGCAAAAAGCTTTAATTTAATTACAAACTGTTCTTGGGAACAAAAAAAAAAAAAAAAAAAAAAAAAAAAGGTAAGGCTTTGAAAGTAATTACAAATCAAAAAAATCTCTGAAAAATAATTTTGATTCTAAAAATAATTTTTAGGCACCGGAAAAAGCTGAGTGCATAAAAGCAAAAATAATAATTACTATGCATGTACTAAAGCATTTCAACTTCAGAAATAGCCATTTAATTATAAAAGTCATGGGATAATTTCAAAAAGATAATTTTAACTACTAAAAATATTACATTAGCTAATATTCTAGCTGAGATCATCTACAAAGCCATGTTCATCCGTGTTTTTATATTGATTTTAGAGTCAAATAAATCTATAAATCGCTCTACATATTCTGTATTGTACATTTACAACAAAATTTATAGCTAAATAAATAAAAATTGGAACCAAAATAAATATTTAAATAAAAAAAAAAAAGTGTCAACATTTCAATGGAAAGTTCAATCGGGTATAAATGAAATGACAATAAATAAAATGATTAACAACAGACAACTCCGAATAATAATGCACAAAATAAATTAATTTCAAACTGAATTAACATTCTTAATGGTTTAATAATTGGAAAATGTTACAAAACAAGCAAGGTTTGTTAAATTCTTACGGATATATAAAATCAATTTGTTATTTTCCTTTTAATTATAACAGAATAAAAATAAACTAAGAGATATCCCATTAAATGATGTTTCTAAAAATTTTACCGAAAACAACAAATTTTGTTAATTTAAATTTGTAATAATAGTATTAAAAAAACACTAAAGCAATAAAAAAGTGTATTTTTCAAATTATTTTCCATCGACTCAATATTTCTAAGCTTTCTGTTTCTTATTTATAAATTACGAATGACATATGTTTATACAGTTTAATAAATATGTCAACAACAAAGAGCTGCGAAACACACGTGAAATCAAATCAATGCCAATAAAACGTTTTTTGGTCAATCGCGCACAGTTTTATTAACCGAAGATTAATTAAAATATCATTTTTAATACTTTTAAATAACAGTGATGAAAATACTCACTAGAACAATTCCATTCTAGTGATGATGTATCTTTCTTCACTGTCTTAATAATTTTAATTTGATTATTTAGATGCGGACATTCCATTTCCAAACGATTTCATAACAAAGTTCTCATTAAACTGACTTCGATACCTCTCTCGACCGACCACCACAAGAGTAATCATATACGCATACACAACACAAAGTTGTTATCAAAGCAAGGACGACAACGTAGAAAGCTGTTGAACCGATTAGTTGTGCAAAGTGACGCTAGAGCATGTGAAAAAACTCTGTAAAAGCTGGCATGTCTGAAACTTACAAATTTATCACAAATCATAATTTTAAAGGCTTAAATTATAATTTATACTTATCTCGTGAATAAAGGTTGTACCATGATTTATAGTTTCATACCTTGCATATTATTATAAGATAATTATTTGTAATTAATATTATGATAATTTTCAGTAAAATAAAAAATATTTTATTTTAACTTCATTAACATGAAAAAGTGCATAAAATAATCTTGAAAGTTGTTGGAAAGTATTTGGAAATATTTTAAAATTGTAAATAATATATAACCGTAGGTATACTTTTAGCAACTTCTACTGTTAGTATGATATTTACAGGTGATGTTGTTATTTTAGATACGCCTACGGGCCTTTAATTTTATTAAATTTTTCAAGCGAGAAAAGTTAAAGAAAGAAAACTATCTATTTAGGCTATGTAATACTTTCAAAGATGATAGTGTTACATTTTTTATTTATTGTTTTAAATCCTTTGTTTGAAAATATTGCATAAAATTTGATATCATGACAGCCAATTGGTTAAAAGATTTAAATCTGAAACCTCGATCTAACTCTGTAAAAACTTTCAAATCATATGTTGATTTGGATTGTGAAACACAAGGCAGTCAGACTGGTTATAATTCATCTTTGCAATGTGAATATAAAGAGAAAGAGGTAATTTAATGTTATTTTTTGAACTATAATCTATACATGCTGTAAATATGATTAAAATACTAATATATATTCGAGACTTTTATTGTGCTGTAGATTTATCAGAAATCCTGCAATCAATACTAAAGGGATTACATCAATTAAAAAAAATGCGGAAGCTATGCTAATTATATCCATCTCTTAGATTCCTCATATTTATGAGTATGAGCTGAAAATGTATAATTGCACAATTAGTATAATTACATCGATCTTAAATTTAGTTATAAGAAAATCATCCCTCTGTTTTTACCTTCAAAATTTGATTTCCTTAATAAAATATTTTCTGCACTGAAAATTATGTTTTCCAATTCTTTCAGCATCAAATAATTTCTTATAATGTTCAGTTTTTAATTAATTGCTTCACTGATTAAAACAACTTTGTGTACTGATATGTATGAGCAGTTACTAATTTGTATGCTGATTTATGCATGCGTATTACACAGTTTAGAATTTGAATACGTACACTCTTCATTTATTTCTGAATAAAGAAGGGATCTTTGCGAGATAAATGAATTACCTTTAGCCGAAATATATATATATGTCAAATCTTTTGATGTAGACATAGTATATATGTTCTTAATTATTATAAACATAATCTGTGGTACGTACTGTTTTCGGCTGTTGATAATTTGCTGTTGTCATATATCTGAAACAGAATTTTCTGGAATCAAATTTTTCTTTTAAAATGCTTTCAGTGTTAGACAGCTAACAACATATTTGATAATTGAGTAGTCATAATATCTGTATAGTTTGTGATATTTTATTTTTCGGGTAGAGTAGACTTTAAGGTACTCCTTGTATTATGGCGAAGTTTTTGTTTGATTTATTGCCAAGTTGTGTTGTTTCATTTATGGTAGCCTGAGTAGTTGAATGTTATGGAAACCCTATTGTGACGTAATCGGGTGCATGATTCTGGGAAATTTTGAATCATGGGATGTTTTGTAAGCGTTTTTGTGGTGTGTGTTAAAACCGTTTAGATGGATTTGAAAGGGTTTGTAGGAAGAAAGGTTCAGATGGTCACTATGTGAAGAATTCGATCAGAAAGAGTACCTGGTTTAAAAGAAGTCATTTGAGTATGATTGATATTTGATTTTTACATGGCTCTGGGGGTACGAAGCGAACTCGAAAATCATGGTAAGTGAATATTTGCTTTTGGTAGTGCTTAAATGTATAATAAGTTTTTCCTTTTTTATGTTATTTTATTGTTTGGTTTAAAATGTATTTTTTGTTTGCCTATATTGTAGACTTTGGTGCTCCTTTTGACTTTTTAAGTGAAAATATATCGATGTGTACATGGACAGAGTAAAAAGAGTGCACAATGCAAGTTTGTGCAATTCTGGAATTTTTTTAAGTGAAAATAGGTCGATGTGTATATGGATAAAATTAAAAGGGGTAGAGTAGACTTTAAGATACCCCTTGTATTATGGCGAAGTTGTTGTTTGATTTATCGCCAAGTTGTTGTTTCATTTATGGTAGCCTGAGTAGTTGGATGTTATGGAAACCCTATTGTGATGTAATCGAGTGTATGATTCTGGGAAATTTTGAATCATGGGATGCTTTGTAAGCATTTATGTGGTGTGTGTTAAAACCGTTTAGATGGATTTGAATGGGTTTGTAGGAAGAAAGGTTCAGATGGTCATTATGTGAAACGTTCGATCAGAAAGAGTACCTGGTTAGAAAAAAGTCATTTGAGTATGATTGATATTTTGATTTTTGCGTGGCTCTCGGTTTACAAAGCGGGATAAAGTTAAAAGAGTGCGCAATGCCATTTTTGTGCAACACTCGTGGATTTTTTTTTTAAGTGAAAATAGGTCGGCGTGTACATGGATTAAGTCAAAGGAGTGTGCAATGCCATTTTTGTGCAATTCGGGGGTGTTTTTTTAAAGTGAAAATAAGTCGATGTATACATGGATACTGAGTTTGTGCAATTGTTTGTCTTGTTATTTTGGCTTTGTGTAGCGGCGATTTGCGCAAAAATTGCCGCACCACAAGCCAAAATAATGAGTCAAAGAATTGCACAAAATCAGTATCCATGTACCGCCAAAAATCGCCAAGGGGTACCCTAAACTATACTTTTACCGTTATAAGAGTGCGCAATGCTGTTTTTGTGCAATTCGGGGATTTTTTTTAAGTGAAAATAGGTCGACGTGTACATAAATAAAGTCGAAGGAGTGCACAATGTCAGTTTTTGTGCAATTCGGGGATTGGTTTTTTTAAGTCAAAAATAAGTCGATGTGTACATGGATACTGAGTTTGTGCAATTGTTTGTCTTGTTATTTTGGCTTTGTGTTACGGCGATTTTTGGCGCAAAAAATCACCACTTCGCAAGCCAAAATAACGAGTCAAAGAATTGCACAAAATCGGTATCGATGTACCGCCAAAAATCGCCAAGGGGTACCCTAAACTATACTTTTAGCTATTTTTCTTCTCCTATTTGTCTAAGTAAATTATGTGCCACTAAAGCATAAAATTCTAGGTACTATTCGGTTTCGAGGGCCGTAAAAAATCGCCAAACTATTGTTGATGCCAATGCTGCCAAAAATAATTGCGGTAAGAAAGGAAGTATAATAGTAAATAACTATCTAAGATTGATGTTTTAATTTAGATGAAAGGTTAATTTCATATAATACATTTTTATTATTATAATTTATATGAAAAAGGCTAAACATGACTGAATGGAAGCATAAGAGTAAATAACTATTTCATATCATTATTATAATTTATATAAAAATTGCTAAACATAACTGAATGGATGCCTGCTTCGCTATTTTGCTACCGACTTATCGCTAAAGCATAATTTCATCCCGTTGGTTGTTTAAACGTAATTTTCTATAATGAATGATGCATTTTCTTTTGAAAATATTCTTGGTAAAGTGCAGAATCGCTCACTTATTTGTTTGCCACTTTTTACAAGGGTAAAAACAATTGAATTTTTGTCAATTTTCTTTTACTTTTTAAGTGAAAACAGGTCGATGTGTACATAGATAAAGTCAAGGGTGTGCACAGTGCCATTTTTGTGCAATTGTAGGATTTTTTTTTAAGGTGAAAATAGGTCGATGTGCACATGGATACCGAGTATGTGCAATTTTTAAAAACGTGTCAAGCAGTGGGGGATTCTGCACTTTACCCAAAATTCTATTGCCGACTTTTCATCATGGGCAATTTCCAAATTGTTAAATCCATAGGATATCAAAAAAGGATTAAAAAATTAAACTAGTATGTCAATGGCATTTTAATAAATATAGAACTATATAAACTTACGCAATCTGAAATCAGCGCATGGGCTAGATTTGGCGCGTTTGCTAGATTTGGCGCTTTTGCACATACATTTTCGCTGCAATTTGTTTATGGCCCTCAAAACCGAATAGTACCAAATTCTAGTGTGATCAAAATTCACAAGTAGTTAATGTTAGGTTCAAAGAATATTTTAACCATTAATTTTTCTAAACATGTTTTTTTTTTTTTTTTTTTTCTAATTATATGCAGTCCTCTGCTGAAAAGGCACAGAGGCAATGCTGAATATTGGCAAAAGATATTTATGTAGCGTGTCTTATAATAAGAGCTAGCTCAGAAAAGGTATTGCAAGTAAACAACATCTTCCAATGTTACCATAGTAACTCCTAAAAATAAAGAGACACAGTACAATATACAAAACACAGTTTAATTTAATGAAAACCCATATTCTATAAAAAAGGTATTGCAGAACATCATATGCATTCTAAAACTATCAGCTCTACATTCAGGTGTGTTGTGTCATAAATCACACTTTGTTTCAGTTCCTTTTGTGAAAGTTTATAGCCAGGTTTTTACCAATTTATGTGGCAACCCGTGATATCACCAAAAAGAATTTATCTATTAATCCAGATATGCACATAGCAAGTTTGTGTCTCAGTACATGCAGATTTGCACTTTTGAAATTCAGTGGTCATTTTTCTGATTGGCATTTCTTTTATTATTGAGTGCATTTTATTTTTGTCATATGTAATGGAATCCTAGAATTTTTCCTCTTTTGTTTCCATTGCATGAGGCTTTAACTATTTTGGGGCCAATGGCAATCTGATGTTGTGCATGATGCCGATTTTTTCTAGTGAAAACAGGTAACTGTGTACATTGGGAGAACAACAGCACAAAAAATCAAGATGTGTGTCTTCTGTGTAAAAGAAAAAATATATATATATATATATAAAATTAAGTAACACTGACTTGTTGAAATCGACATCAAGATACTCAAGCATTTACCTCCAAAGTTGTGAGAGAGTTTGCAACTTTTTGGTGGGGATGCTAATAATCAGAAATTACCCATATTTTTAGTCATTTGGCATTGGTTTAGATGCTTGATACTGTACATTAAAAGTATTTCATTTATTTTACGTTTGGATATTGTCATGGTTCATCAGTCCAAACATTTCTGGTAGTAATGGCAACTTTAGTTACATATGAGTGCAACCAACTTGAACCAATATCTCAAGCACGTCGGATTCTTTTCATAGGTAACGGCTGTCTTCTCTTACATTCCTTCAATGCTAAGTTGGAGACCATAACCTGTTGTCATTGAAGTTGTGGCAAAAGCATACTTTGCCTTGCTTAAATAAAACCTGGGACGTCTAAAATAAAACTAATATTTATATCAAAACTTAAAACAACTAGGCTACAACAGAAACCTTTACATTAAAACACTTTGAATTGAATATTTGACTACATTTTGAAATAGTTTTTTACTGATTTTCGTTTAAAATATTCAGCATATTTTGTTGCTTCGCACTTGTAACTAACTTGGCTTGTTCAGCTGCTTGTTCCAATTTTATTTTTAAATGCTGTAAGTAATCTACTACCAATGCACTTAGATTAATTGATATTGGTATTTCTTACAACTATGAAGACTAAACTTAGCATTCATACTGCTAAAGGATCACTTGGCTGTCTTCTGTACATCAGCTGAAATTGTGAGATTCCGGTGGTGCAGTTCGCTACTTCGCAGATTTAAGTATGGGATGTGCTTATCTTATTTCGAAGGGTGAGTCCTTATGACATAGTGTAACATTTACTTGAGAGACTTGTTCCATCTTTCCACCAGTCCGTGTGGAGCACTATAAGCAGGTGTGGAGAATACAGGGTGAGAACTTTTTTTAACTTTCTTTAGTTAATTTTGAAACAAAGTTGCTTTTGTTGTCACTTGCTGTTGTATTAGATATTCCTATTCTCATAAATATCTCCAAAAGTGCATCATAAGTGTCTTTTGCTGACAAGCTTTTCACTGGGATTGTTTCTGGCCGGGAGTGTCAATTACTAGTCATAATATATATTTATTTTTCTAGTAGAAGGAGGTTCAATAGGTCCAATTATATCTGCTTCAAAAGGTTATAGGATATTTCTCCTGCCTTCTTAGCATGCCTTCGGGGTGTGGTGGTCTGCATGCTGGGTGCATATTCCAGAGGTCCGTGGTTCGATTTCTGGCGAGGGCATTGCTCATTTTTCATCTTTCCTGCTTCCAAAAAAATGCCTAATGTCTCTACGAGGTAATTCTGGTCTTCCGACAGGTGTGATGGAAATCCTTTCTGATCTCTTTTCTTGACTCTTCAATTGAAAATTTTTGCATGATTTTCAAAAAGTTTTGGAGTTTTGTGCTAATCTAGGCCCCCAAAAAATTAATATTGGATTCTTCCCTTTAGTTTCCGTATTCCAAGATGTGCTTCTAAAAGGTAACTATGTGCTAATTCCAACACCAGTGTTCTACTACTAATAGGCAACACCAACTGGAAAACCGTCTGCACCAATGTTCTTTCTTGGTCATGTAAAAGATTATCAATAAATAAACAGTTCCCTTTTTCTCCCTTCAGCTTCTTCAACTTCTTTGCCTCTCTCAGCAACTGGTAGGTTTTCAGCTGCCAAAAAGTATGTGATTTCGTCCACACTCGCCTTCTCCACTTCCTCCTCTTTGGTTTTCTCTTCCAAAAGCAAGAGGGATCCTACATTCTTTTTTTTTTTTTTTTATTTGTTTTAGCAAAGAGACTCAGCAGATTTTCTTCTTCAAAATTATTGTTTTCTAAAATATCAATGCTTGATTTTCTTTTTGTATGATTAATCAACAGTTGGTATAGTTCTGGAGTTATTAAACATGGTGCATTTAGCTTATCCATCACTCCAATTAAAGTATCCTTAAAATTAAATAAATTATTTCCATAATTTCTATAATAAATAGGTGCACGGCAAACTTTTGCTTTAATCAGCTGTCTGAAAGCAGGGATTAGTATAATTTTACATCTTGGTCTTCTAAATCTGGAATGAGTGAGGAATGTATAATTATTATCTGTGTTCCGAAATCTATGATACCTTCAATTTTCTCAGAGTCAATAAAAATATCTACTTTTTGCAAATTCTGGAACTTTCTTGTGTTTAAATGCTCTTTCGATAGAATTTTAAATGTATTCCATGCTTATGTTCTCTTTGGTATTGCTGTAGTCAGTGTTTCTACTCCTTTGTCCAGGGAAATTTTGCTTTCTCTACCAGTGTTTCAGAAAGAAGGTGTCAGACTTTTTACTTCCTCCATTTTGAGTTACTTGAATTTTGTACTAGTTCGATTTCATGTTCTCTTTCTGTGTTTTATCTCTCTTCTTCCATTTGTATTCTTTTGGTTTCTTCTCTTCTTCTGCTATTCTCATTTGTCATTTCTTCCTTTCTTTTCTGTTCTCCACTGTAGTAATTAGAATTTCTTTCACAAAGTCAGCATCATTGTTGTATTTCTTGCTATTTTGGAGTGTGTGTTAAATCCAGCTGCTTCTTTGCCAATTTCCAATAAAACAGTTACCAAATCTTCTTTCTTTGTGTTTTTGAGCATTTTTTTTTTTTTTTTTTTTTCGTTTTAAAACTTCAGAATTTAATGATTCATATGCTTCTGATTCCAAATCAAAAATGTGAATTTCTTTCAAATATGAGGCATGTTCATTTCCGATTTCACTGTTCTGAGATGAGTTTTGATCTTTGAGAGCATGTTGTAATGGCTTTGCAATTAAAAAAAAAAAGACACCTTTTGACAAAAATAGAATTTGGAACTACTTTTATATATACCCTCGCTTGGCTAAAAATTTCTCCATAGTGCCATATTACTATCTAAATTTTTTTGTCTATATTTCAAACTTTAAGCCTAAAATGTCTCCAAAAACCACGTTTTGAACACACAATTTAAGCTAAAAATCTGAAACAAAAACAAAAAATTTAGATAACAAAAACATAAAGTTTCTAACCAAAAATATTTGATAAGAATCCATGTACACAGCTATATGTTTCAACTTGAAAAAACATCACAGAATTCCACAATCTATGCAGCAAAGGAATCTACGAACTACGCACACCTCGTTTAAATAAATTAACATAACAACAATAAATTTCAAAGAATACCATGCACACAGCATTCTGTTTAAACTTTAAAAAAAAATCTACGAATTGCACAATCTAGGCAGCAAATGAATCTACTAACTATGCGCACCTCGCTTAAATAAATTAACATAACATCAATAAATTTCAAAGAATACCATGTACACAGGGTTTTATTTAAACTTAACATCTACGGATTGCACACCAATCAACAAAATAAACTAACTAAAATAAATTACAAACAATTCAAAAAACAACAATAACGACAGAAATTCATACTAAAAAAACTATGAACATAACATTCTACAAAATAAAAACAATAAAATAAAATGCACTTACCATAATAAATGCTTCTTCGAACAGCAGAAATACCAAGAACATACAAAATGAAATACATGCGTGAATAAAATTTCACCAGTCATACAAAGTCTGTGAACAAAAATGCCACGATTTTGCAATATCACATGTCTTTCTGCGATTCAAAATTCCGAAGATAACAATAAAAACTTCCTCCAAAGTTAACTTACTACATGAAAACCACAATCCAAATCTTAAACTCAGCTGACAGCCACATATTTTAACATCAACCATTTACCTGCAAACCCACACAAGTCTATCAGAAACGCCCATCTTCGTATGACTTCTCATACCAGCTCCGCATTTCTGACACACCAAACTCCACTTCAGAAGTCCTGATTCCCAGAGAAATTCCAAAAATACACTTCGATCCACATAAACACACCTGTAAACAAAGGACTCGTTAACAACTCCAGCATCGTGCCTTTTAATACTAAATTTACTTTGCATGCAATCTAAAATACACAACTGAAATTTTACCCACCATGCCTTTCATTGCAGCATTCCATTTGAAAACACGCACAACACGAACCAATGAGCAAATAAAACCATTAGTGAAAGAGTAAGTTTCAACATCAAAAGGGTTGCCATACAAACAGCATCTTTCTAAAAAAACCATCACAGAACACTCAATCACGCCCAAAACCAGCACAGAACACATATCACCATATTTGGCATCCTGAGGGCACATATAAGAGTAGTACCCAGAATTTTTATTAAAATAGCTTTGAAACATATAATTTTACTCATGAATGTAATTAGAAAACACTCACTCCTCCATGGCAGACATTCAACCCTTGACTAGACCTAGACTTTCAAGACTAGCAGCCTGTCATCAACGAAACATGCCAAGTGTGTCTTGTTGATCATCAAACAATCACCAGATACTACAGTTCAAGGAGGTTTCACCGTAGAGTTATTAAATTATACTTATTGTTATAATATGAATTTATTGTGTTGTTTTTAAGTCTATTTACATTTGCTACTTTTCTTATTTTCAGGAAGATGATAACCAGTGTAAAGCAGCACCATATCCTCCTCCTTTCCTTTTACCTGGAGAAGTTATTATAGCTCAAGCTGAAAATGTTCTTAAATTTAATACATTAAGTGAATTAAATAAAGGAATTTCTGGGCTACTTGTATGTACAAATTTTAAACTGAGCTTTTTGACAGCTGAGAATTTCCCTTCAAATCTGGTTAGTATAGTAATTTTCTAAATTATGTTAGACTAGCTAAAAACAAACTGGATAAATCCAGTTATGTTTTTAAAACTTGATAAATCTGGTCTTTATATTTCTTAAAATAATTCGTTTTTGCATTTATTTGTTGACCGTAGAGCTTGCAGCATGATTTGGATGTCGTATAGAAGCTTCTTAATCCTATAACTGTCCAAAGGCTTATATTTGAAAAGTCTAAAGTTTACCAAAAAGATAGCAGGAAAAAAGGCATTATCTTGATCATAATGTCAAAATTACTGTGCTATTTTATACCTGTAATATTTTTTTTTCTAGTAAATATCCTTAATATCCTTCATCTTTCATTCAGTCCTTATTTAAACATTTCAACATGCACATACATGTCTACAATTTGGAAGTGTTGATAAGACTAGGTTGTATAATGTAAATATGGTCCAGACAGTTGGTGAATTAAAAATACACCTAACATCCAGTGGGATTGGGTCTTATTGTCCTGGTTTATTAACTTTGATGTCAAAAACAGTGGTCTTTGGATTATTGTGTCAAAAAATAGTAGTTGTTTCTTCTGTGACAAACACAGATAAAGCAACAAGTCTTGCTTTGGTTCCTTTTCTATGACAAAAGTTAGGAATGCAACAAATTTGATACTGTAATTTTTTCAACAGTGAGGAGATTGTTTACCAAGTATTTGTCTTTCTCCGATCTTAAACAGTCAGTGTTGCTGTTTGATGTGACGTTTTGAGGCAGTTGAGAGAGGGCATTAAAAGATTTCAATTATGAATAAATGGACCTGGTAACTTCAACAGCAATATGCCATTGCCACAGCAATGGTTCTTTCTTCATCATATTTAGAACAATTAATGAAGAACTACAAACATTACAGTTTTATATATTATATATATATATATATATATATAAAAATTCTGGTCTCTTATTTCCCTTACCAGCCAGGTTTGCCATGATATGGCATTTTTATTTTTGAGATTGGAATTCAAATATAATAATTGCTCCTTAGCATTATATTCAGACTGAATTCCACAACGTGTTTGTTCCAGTTCAATTGAGAAGATTCAGGGACCAATTCACTTACAGTTTAACTGCAGGTATGAGTTCTTAAATATAGACAGAGACTATTTTCATGGAAATGGGCTAGATTTAATTCAGGTATGTTTTCAAAATTTGGTCTGTTATGTCTAGTTTCTTTTTGACAATTTTGTTATGTAAGTATGATCATATTAATGAATTTGTATTATTTTTATTTAATCTCACTTTCCCCCCCCCATAGCACCAAAGAAATATGTTGCTTGGTGAACATGATATTTGCCTTATCAATATTGATGCTGTTTTTCACGGTATGTGGTTTACTTATCTGAGGTATTTAACTAAACATTGTTTTAAATTATATAAAAAATTTTCTTCTATTTTGTCCTTTAAAAAAATTAATTAAAGTTCCTTATATGTCATATTAATATTAGTAGTATTTTTGATAGTGTTACTATGTATTTGTTTGAAATTTGTAAATTTAATCTTTTTTTTCACCCTTTTCTAAGTTACCGGTGGGAAACGAAAAAAGCTTACTACTTCCAACGTGGGTAATAATGTTGAAATTCTTGAAATTCATTGTAAAGTAAGTTTCGATTTGTGTCTATTGCAGTTTTGAAAAATTAGTTCATATAAGTGTTTAATGTTTCTCATATAAATTAAAACTGCAGTTTTGTGCTGCAGGATTTAACATGAAGTGTAGGAAATAATTCAATAATGGAAGTGACTTATAGAAATAATTATTGTTTTTTAATAAAAATTATCTGTAGTAATTATATTTTTATATATATTTTACTTTGCATTAGCATTATTTGAATATATTTTTTCATCTTTCTGTTTTCATTTTTATAACTAAAGGTATTTATTTAATTCACAAACATGTTTAATTACTTTAATGTATAAGAGTCAAATACATATTGCTGTGAAAAATTAAAGAGTGGTTAATTAAAACATGTATAACTACTTTTTTTACAACTAGAAACATGAAATATGTGCGAAATCCTTATAACTTTTGAAATGCAAATAAGAGTTATTACACAGTTTTAAAATTAATATTTGAATGTAACAAAAAGAAAAAAATATGTATTAGATAAATTTAGGTGCAGTAAAATAAATGACTTCAAAACAAACATCAGAAGATGTGATTTCCTTTGATGAAAACACATTACAAAAAACATTCTACATGTTACAAATGTAGAATGTTTTTTGTATGTGGTTTCATTAGCATTTGGTATGTTCATAACCAAATGCTAATGAAACCCAAGAATTGGTGTAATACAGTACAAAGTCCGTAATCCAGACTCATCAGGACCTCGGCGATTCCAGATTAGGGGTTTTTCCGGATTATAGATCATCAATTTAAATCTGGTAAGATGGCATGCAGAAATTATACAGTTAAAAATATGAAACCGTAATTTATGAAATAAAGAGCAATTATGATCTAAAGGGTATCAAAATTTACAAAAAAAAAAGCTTAATATTTATTTGTTTATCTTATTAAACATTTCAATGTAAGTTGTTTAAGTTGCTTTGTTTTTTGTGCTAATACTTTCTCTTTAATTCTATAAACAGACATAATTTCTTGTTCAAAGTTCCACTCTTCAAGTACTATAATTGCTGTGTCAAGAATACTGACTAACTTGTCAATCGAATTTTTTTCATTTTCAATAACCTCTCTGTCACTTTCTGTTGGAAGCGCGCATGGGTAAACGCTTTACGCACATGCGTAGCGGACGTGCGTATTAAACGCGCATGCGTAAGTTTGTGGTTTTAAGGTCCGGGTTATAGATCATTCTGGATAATGGATGTCTGGATTACAGACTTGTTCTGTATAAATAAAAAAAGCTTAATATTTATTTGTTTATCTTATTAAACATTTCAATGTAAGTTGTTTAAGTTGCTTTGTTTTTTGTGCTAATACTTTCTCTTTAATTCTATAAACAGACATAATTTCTTTTTCAGTTACAAAGTTCCACTCTTCAAGTACTGTAATTGCTGTGTCAAGAATACTGACTAACTTGTCAATCGAATTTTTTTCATTTTCAATAACCTCTCTGTCACTTTCTTTTGGAAGCGCGCATGGGTAAACGCTTTACGCGCATGCGTAGCGGACGTGCATATTAAACGTGCATGCGTAAGTTTGTGGTTTTGAGGTCCGGGTTATAGATCATTCTGGATAATGGATGTCTGGATTACGGACTTGTTCTGTATAAATAAATGTGCAGTGGTTTTGAAACATAAATAAAGCCTTTTCGTGCTGTAAAATGTGATGAAAGAAAATATGTTTACATGTGAATAGAGAACAATGTTCAAAAGCTTCTGGTATAAGTGTGAAAATGAGATGTAATTTTATCCTTTGAATGACACTAATTTAGTCCCTATTATTCATTAATGAAACTCTAGAACCTTCTTCTGTGTTCTGAGATAAGTATGCTTTTCTTTATATTTCATTTTCGCATTTGTAACAGAAGAAGAATGTTTGATCTATGAAACTTATGTACTACTTGTGTACTTATATTATTCCAATTCTTATTATTAATTTTTTGTTTCTTTAGCATTTAATGATTCTTTTTTAGTTCTGAAAACATTTTGCAGAAACATATTTGCTGCTTAGTACTTCTCATAACTTCTGGAGCGTGTTAAGTGCTAAGAGAAAACAGACGTTTTACAGTTTTGCCACTTAGATTCACAAACCTCAGCCAGATTTCAGTTCTAAGAACAGACTAACTTGTCAATCGAATCTCTGGATCTCCATACTTTCCAGATATAAGCATTGCTGAATAAAGTTGTGCAGTGCTGCTCATTAAGAAGAATTAATCACTGACATTTTATTGTGAATCCAAAATCTAATGTATCTTTACGTATTTAAGAACAATAAGCATGTTTCGATGTCCATCAAACAAAAAGTGGAATTACTGCAAAAAATGGATAAAGGCATGAAGAAAGTGACAGAGAGGTTAGTGAAAACGAAAAAATTTCAATTGACAAGTTAGACAGTATTCTCGGCACTGCAATTACAGGACTTGAATAGCAGAACTTTGTAACTGAACAAGAAATTATGTCTGTTTGTAGAATTAAAGAGAAAGTATTAGCACATAAAACAAAGCAACTTAAACAACTTACATTGAAAGAAATGTTTAATAAAGTAAACAAATAAATATTAAGCTTTTTTTTTGTACCCTTTAGATCATAATTACTCTTTATTTCATAAATTATGGTTTCATATTTATAATTTCTGCATGCCATCTTACCAGATTTAAATTGATGATCTATAATCCAGAAAACCCCCTAATACGGAATCGTCGAAGTCCCAGTGAGTCTGGATTAAAGACTTTGTACTGTATAATTAATCACTGAAAAGTGCTCCTATTAAAAAAAATCTGTGTCAATTAGTGTTTATTTTCTTGCAAATTTGTGCTACTTGACATGTCAGTTTTTCTCATTAATTCAGTTTTTATTGAATTCTATGTCTTCTTTGAAGTAAAGTTCTTTTCTGGGTAATGGGTAATTTAATGGGGTGCTACTAAACATAAACATTGGAAGGAAATCTAAACTAGATTTGGTAACAATCATATTGATGCATAAAAAAGAATACAATTTTATGTATGATGCCAAATTGTGAAATTTTCTGCTGTTTTCTCTCAATAAAAAATGAAACTGTTTTATGTACACAGCGGTCAGTTTTCTAATAAAAAAAAGTCAGAGAATTGCATGAATTTGACATCAAGCGCAAATTTGACAAAGAGTGACATCTGCACTTCAACACAAAAGCAACTGAAAAGTCTAGAATGGAAACTTACTGGATTGATGTTTCCATTCTTCTCTACAGTGCTCATTCTAACATGACGTAAACGGCCTACCACATTTGGCATTTCGACACATGTTTGGAGACTTACACCCCATTAAACAGAGAAGCACCAAAAGGATTTATTAATTAAAAAAATATTTTTTTTTTTTTTGGTATGCTTTTTCTGCTTGTTAATTTATCCAAATTTTTAAGTGATGATTGTATTCAGTGATGATTTAAGTGATGATTGTAACTGAAGTAATTTCAAAATCACATCATATTCTGCTGAATGATCATGGATCATAGAATGAAATAATTCTGCTATAAAATGCTTTGTATTTAGAATGAATTATTCCTTCGATGCATTTTGCAGATTTTTTAATCTTATGGGGGTAAAAAGCTAGTAATTTAAAGTGATGAGTGATTTTTTAGTGTGTTTATCTTGCCTTACTGTTGCTTTTATTTTATTTCATTTTATTTATTTATTTATTTATTTATTGAGGAGGCAAATATGCTCCTGATGAAAGATATTTTATTGTTTTCAAAGCATTCTGAATTATCTTTAATCTTTAAAACATCATTTAGTAATTCATATTTGAAAAATTGATTTAAAAAATTTTTAACAGTAATTTGAATTTTGTATGTAATTTAAAGTACAGTTTGAAAGTACAAACAACTAATGCTTGAGCATTCGACCAGTATATAAAAGCAGTAATTTTTCTATGAATTTATATCTTCTATTATGTAATCATGCTTTTCCCAATCACAATCCAAAATTAACTTTTTCTATTAAATTTCTACTTTATTCTAACAAATATATATTAATATGTAAATAAATAAAGATGTTTAAAGTATTGAACAAAGATTTCTAACATTTGCTTTTTTGCCTTTTAGGATTTTCGAACTTATACCTTTAGTTTTAAATTTTCACCATTATCCCAAAGATCTGTGAGTATTCTTTGCTTAGTTCTTCCAACAAGTTTAGATGGCAATTTTTAATTAAATATTTTCAGTGCTATTAAAAATTTTCCTAAAAAAAGTGGAAATAAATCTTTATTTTTACTATGGCTTAGTTTAAATTTTCTTTGTGGTAAGCTTCATTATTTTATATAAGTATTTTTCCCCCTTAATCTATGTAATTATTTTTGAAATTTCACTGAACTGTTTCAGTTTTTGAAAGAATTTGTAAATTGATTTGGATTATATGAATAAATATTAAGATAATTTTGTATTTTCAGCCTATGAAATTTAGCATAATTAATCAAACTTTTTTGGCCTTTCCCAATTTGGATTTGAGGTTTAATTCAGAAACAAGTGTTTTTAAACTTTTTATGTTGTTTTAGAACAATGTTTCTCAAACTTTTTTTATTCACAAAAAAAAAAAAAAAAAAAAGGAATGTTCAACATCTTTATTAATCCACCTCATTATTTGTCTAAAAATATGTAAGGAAATGAAAGTAATGGTGAGGTTGGGTTATCTGTATTTTAATGAATTTAATAGTAGTATCTTGTCATATTTAATAACAAAAAGGATGAAAATATGATCTAAATCTGTAACAAAATAGGTTTAATGAGAAGGATGAGTATAATGAATTTTTACTAATTTGTCAATGTTTGGCTCATTTTTTAATAACATTTTCAAATCATTTTTCAGTTATAAGAACTGTTTCTGCACTAAACCAGCTTTCCATGAAATAAGACAAAGAAGCTATGAGTCATTTCTATACAATATTCCATAAACTAAGATAAGTTCGGGTATCTACTTCTGTAGCCAAAACTGTTGTATCTAGATCTAAATTAATATTTCAGGTGTTCATTTCTTTTTAATTCAATAAATTCACTTAAGTTTGGAGATACTTCCACAGGAAAATGGGTCCTGAAGGTTTGTGTACATCCATTTTTAAAATACCTTGAAATCATTTCTTGAACTCTAACTCCAAAGCTTATAGATGTTGGCAATATTGAAGTTTATATTTGTTGTTTTTTTCTCAGTGGACAAATTTGTAAATTCCTCAATGGTCCAAGTTTCTTAGCTGTTCTAAAGCTTTGTCACAAACTCAGAAATTAAATTCATGTTTTTTATTAGTTTCAGATCATCACCTTGGAGATAGCAGTTTGATTCATTGAATTTATTAAACAATTCTCTCATATAAACTATATCTGTTTTTGATTTTATCAAGTCTGCTATTAAAGCAAGATCTTTGTCTTTCAGAAATTCAGTGGCATAACGAGCATAAATGCCACCCAGGGCATGATACCTTTTTGGCACACTACCCCTGAAAAACATATAGTAATATAGTATAGGGAATATATTTGTAATAAAAATATAATATAGATAATAATAGTGTGCAACACCTACCTTAAAATGCTCTAAAACAGATTACAAGTACTGACTGTGTAACTACATTTCTACAAAATACCATATTGTTCTTTTGGAATAAATAGGAACACGTGATCAAGTTAGGCTTTAAATTTAAGACAAAGAATCTAAATTAAAAAATCAAGAGTAGGACTGGATTCAGAAATATGTCTGTATCAAATCTGTCTTATGAGTTGATTTTGAAATGTGAATGACAGAAGATGAATAAATTCATTTTGAATTTGTGGTTATAGGTATGAGACAGTTATTGGCATTTCCATGACATTCTTAAGACAATCTGCTAATTGTGGATCAAACTAAGCTACAAGATTATATAAAGATAATAGGTTTCCAACATTTGTATCATCTTGAAGGCTAGAAGTAGAATTTGTATAATCAGATACTTTGTACAAGCTAATATTATTTGCAATATATTTTGCCACCAGTCTTTTTGGACTGTATATTTGCTTCAAATGATTCATTGATCTCCATTTTATTAATTAATTGTCTTTAACACAACAAGGGAACACAACAAGAAATATGCTTATACCACAGGCTGTGACACAAATGGTCTGGCTGAGTGAGATGATTAGTGAGGAGCAACTGCATAGGTAAGTATAGGAAGGAGGTGGATGATATGTATGTATCAAAGGAAGACAGAAACTCTGAATAATATGATGGGATGTTGGACAGGGTGTTAATACAGAATAAAATTAATTAATCTTCAAATACATACCTTTGACCAGTTTTTGTTTGAAGCGTTTATATACAATATTTCACATTGAATCAATAATACTGGTAAATTTCACATTTATTCACATCTATTTTGAAAATATATAAATTACATATACCTACTAATTGGTGAAAAAAATTGCTTGCTTATTTAAAGGTTTGGTTCAAACTGTATGAACTGTTACTTCAGTTATTCAGAAGTACTGAAAATTTTCTGGAACTGCTGCAAATTCATATTGCTTTTAAGAATGCTTTGTTCTTCAGTGAATTCATTATCATATTTGTCACCAGTGTTAAAAAGACATCATTTTGCCTCTTTTTGCCCAAATTTTTTGCTATAATATTTCTTTCAGATTTATCAGTGTGCCTTAATTATTTTCCGTAAGTAATAATTTCCTTCTACCTAGAACAATACTTTTTCTGAATGCATCTTATTCAGTGCTGAATAATGTCTTTCTAGAACTTGTGTTCATTAAAATTTCCTTTGTGTTAAATTAAAAACTGGTTGTGTTTCAAAAATTATGTCATCTTGGAGACATGCTAAACTAAATCCTGTTAAGCAAGAGATATTTTGTTGATTAAGAACACATTACTGATGAAGGAATTATCATATTAAAGTTTTTTTAATAAAATTATTTTATAATAAAAAATTTTTAGTTAAAATATTTTGCCCATTTTTGCTTTTTGATGTATATTTGAGTTCTTCATTACATAATTTAAAACCTTTTGATTATGTCAATAGGTGATAAGTACAATTATTCATCATGCTTTTGTACCGAGGATTAATCTGTTATTTGCATTTGATTACCAAGATAAATCAGAATGTAAGTATTTTGTGTGTGTGTGTGTGTGCTGTTTATGAATTTTAAATCATTTTTCAATATTAAATACTTGTATTGTGCTGTATAAAAAGTATATGCATTTTATATTACATAAATGGCACTTAAAGGGGTGGCTGAATAATATTTGTTATATACGTTCCAAACTATTATTGGAGAAAAAAAAATCATTTCTATAGCAGTCATATAATGTGATATTACCAATGTTTTTCTGTACAGCCAGCACAATTTTCTGACATCACATGCTACGACTTTTGGTCAGGGAGAATGGTGAAACACTGTTTTTATGCTATGAAACTGAGAAATCTTCATGACTTCATCAATGCAGGAACATGATTCATTGAAACACTAAGGCAACAAGAATCAGTGTAATTTTCTTAAAAATTTTCAGGACTAATTTTGAAGATTTAAATTTAGAATCTTCTTCATCATTTGTAGGAGTTTAAATGACAAAGGAGAAGCCTGTGCTTAGGTAATGACAATAGACCAGAAAATTCAAGAAAGTGTCTTTAACCCGGCGGAAGTCACACCAAGAAAAGTTACAAGAGCAGGCGCGTGGGGTATCACATGCCTCAATATTTAAAATACGATAAAAATAGTTTTAAAGCTGTTTTCCTTGTTCTCGTGTATTATAAATACATAAATAATAATTGGGTTTAAAAAAAATTAATTTCCAAAATAATCTTAGAGTTAAAATTAAGATAAATGAAAATATAAAAAAAATAAATATCATGCCTCTAAGATTCATTGCATCTCTAATACACCATGCTTATTTTATTTCTTCACACTTTGAACGAAATACATTCATGTGCTCTTGGCACGGAATGTTTTCACATTTTAAACATTGCATTCATGTTCTTCTGTCCTTGGCGCGAGGGCAAAAAATTTATCACATCTTTCATACTTAGTTGTTTCGAATCTCATGTATTCGTTTTAATTCTTCGTCGAAACTTCTGCTTTTGTTTTGCATGCAGTACGTCAATTTCCTGAAAAAGTATTAATCTCTGTTCTTTGTTCAATACTTTTTTTCATTAATTGTAATGCTAAGTCCTTTAAAACAGATTAATTGTAATGCTAAGTCCTTCAAAAACAGACTTCTGTTCCTGTTTGGTGGATTAGCAGTTGAATGCAATATAATTCAAGCATTTCTTACAGCAACATTCAGTGCAGGAAAGAAAATTACCATTGGCCACCTCCTTGTTATCCTGGCAATTGAATAATTGGCTGGCATTTCATCCCCCATATCCACTGCTCCTTTAGTCATATTATAAAAACATGTAATTCCTGACGTTTTATTTTCTCCAATAGTGTCATCTATAGTATGATCGTTGTATAATGTTGAAAGCATAAGAACAGTTTTTCCTTTTTTAGGCACATTAGGAATTAATGTTTTATCTTTTTCGAAACCAAAACAGTGTAGAAAATATTCCTAGTTTCATCTTCAGTTTCCGAAATGCAATCTTCCTCGCTTTCAAATATTTCTAATAAATCTCACAGGCGTTGCATCTCCAATTCATAGGGAGTCATTCTTTTTACCTTTACCATAACGCGGTTAGAAATTTTCAAGAATTTAATGTCAAGTACTTTAAAATCACTTGCGAGTAGAAATATTTAATGTTACACTCTAGAATTAAATTTCTGAACTAAATATTCGGTCAGAAAAACACTTACGCGGACAGGCGCGTGGGGTGTGTCATACCCCAGTTCCAACAAAATACCGATACATTTTTTTCTGAAACACACAGACAAAGGAAAAGCAGTTCTGAAAGTCAACCACAACTAGAAACTCAGCTACTGAATGCAGCACAGAATTTCAGTTTCTCAAGTTAGGAATATTCCACTTTTATGTAAGGGTGGGGTGTGATACACCCGTGCCTTCCCGCAGGTTAAGAGCATGATCTAACAGATGCATGCAGGCATTGAGAAGCATCGTGACTAAGCTGAAGGTAATTGTTAACCCTTTCACGACGGCGCACCTTTGTTTAAGATGCTTATGCAGGACGGAAGGGAATCGATGGCAGTCACTGTACAGGATGGAGATTTTACATTGCTATGACTAATTTTATAAAAAAAATCCAGAAAAAAAAATTTCACTTCTAGCATCGTAATTTTTGGTATTATTGTAGATTATTACTTGAGCTCTTATATATGTTAAAATTAGCACTTAATAACCTTTTTTTCTTTATTTTACATGAAAATATACTTAAAAAATTGCTTATCTTGTAAAATAATTTTTGGAAGTGCTGTTCAAATTATTCCAAAGTTTTAATTGATAAAAATCCATCAATAAAGTTTAAAATTAATAAAGCAACACAATAAAGATTATTTACAGTAAGAAGTAACAAAATTTAAAATGAAGACTGACTGTGGTAAATCTCGAAGCACGGAGAAGTACCACTTTCTAACTCTAAAAAATGAATCATCACTCTTATCTGTGTTAATGAATGGTTCATTAACCATATGACGGTATTCTTCCTCTGAAAAATAGCACCTTCCCGCCATAATAGACTGGAGGTGAGGCTTTCCGAAATAAAAAGAGAAGAAAAGGAAGTATATCTGAAGACAATGCAAAACATAAAAGAACTCCACATAGAAACCCTAAAAGACCGTATATAGTGGAGGAGAAAATAGAATAAAAAAAGGAATTTGATATAAATCAGACACGCGAATGTTTATATTAGCACACCGCGATTTAAAGAGCCCACCTCTATGGTGTGTATATGGGACACCGTCGTGAAAACGTTAAATGAAGTGACCTGCGTCTGTGCCGTACACATGTATCATTGCTGTAGCTGCATATATACATATGTAACTTGCACTGAAAATTGAGTGGTGATATCTTTGTGGCCTACCGTGTATTTCTACTAAGAATGCTGTTTATGTTCCTGTATTAGAATGGCGCCGAAACGCATGAAGTAGTTTCGATTTTAAATATCCTTAATAAATCTAACCACTCTTGGTCTATTCAAACCAAACTGCATACATTTAATAAAACTTTCACATCTAGACATTTAGTAATAATTCAGTAACACAGATAAGCTTTAAAATAAGAATTACAACTGTTATAGGTCAGCTATGTTTTTAACGACCAAATTCTTCCGACGACAAATCTCAAAGGTGTGTTGCCAACGCAGGGCATCAAAAAATGGAAATTAATTCGATAGGCATGGATGTGAACAAATGCATTGTGGCAAAAGTGTTTTTTATATTAAAAATCATATTTATATTTAATAGTTTTAATATTTTCTTCATTTTTGTTATGTATTTAATGGTAAACTTTAATTTAGTGGTAAATGCTGCTGTGCTTTCAAATTGTATGACTTTAATCTGAGTTGTTGTAATTAATTTTTATTAGCAGTCCTTTTTCTAGCTATGCCATAAATGAAATGCATATTTGAGATACATTTATATAAAGTTGATTTCTTGTGCAATTGACACACAGTCAGTTTTTGTAAATGAAAGGACTTGAACTCATTGCTGTAAGTTGAACTCATTGCTCATTGCTGTAAGGGAGGGAGACGCTTTCTAAATATAGTAAATCGCCGGTAAACTAAATTTTGAGAGTTAATTTCTAGACCACTGAAAACTTGTTACTTCACACTTCCACATGTACACTGCTCAAAAAAAAAATGGGACAGTGCTATATCTCCCGTTCTACTGGGCTGATTGACGAAATTCAAACTGCGTTTTTCATGTCTCGAAAGCACGACTTAGGATATATATTAGATGTATATATAGCGCTATTCTAACATAGGTAATTTGACACAAAATCGGACTTCTTCTGAAATAACATACCAATTTTTTTCCATATTTCGATTCTACGACTCAAATTATGCCAGAATACCAAGTTTCGTAAAAATCGTACGAGTAGTTTTTAAAATATTAGCTCTCAAAAGTTTAGCTCCTCAATGTTAATTGAGTTTGGCAAATATTTATTAATATCTCTTTTTTCATTAAACTTTTTTGACTTTTTCTCTCACATTTCGAAATTTAGGTTCATTCCAAATAAAATTTACTCATTTTTGTGTTTTATTTTAAAATTTCTATTTTTAAATAATTTTATAAATTTTTCGAAAAAAATTTTGAATTATAACCTATAAAATTTTTACCATCATCTTAAAGTAGGTGTATTTTTAAGCATATCTGCAAAAAATAAGACTTTTTTATTCAAAATTTTCTAAGATGTACACGAATTTACATATTTTCGAGTTTTGAAATTTGGCATCTTTTTTTTTTTGAGCGATAATAACGCCAAATGTGGTCTATGGATTTTTGTGACAGTGAATTGCCACAGCTTTTTTTAACCTTAAATTTCAAGTAAAATTTTACGCAGAATTAATTATATGACATTTTTTCCCTCAATGATGCATAATAAATATTTATTAATACTATATGAAAAGCTATTTTTTTTTAAATTATAGATATTATTCAAATTTTTAACTATTTTTTTAAAATTTCTCTCTATCTTCCTTTTTTTAAAAAAATAAGAGTACATTTTTGTAAGAGTAAATTTTTACCCTCGGCGTTTTATCGTCTGCTACTTTACTTCGTTTAAATCGAATTGCCTAAAACTGAGAATTTTCGTTTGATATTTATTTGAATTTTATGACATTAACTGCCTAATTGATTTCTAAACAAACTGTTGCTTTTGAAGTGGCTGAAAGAATGGCTGGTACTATCATTCACATTTTTAAAGCACATTATATTTTTATAGAAACATAAGATTTAGAATAATCATTTTTATAAAAGTCAAATTATGATATAAACATACAACCGTCTAGAGACTGAATTAATGGAAGTTCAATGGTTATGTAGAAATGATTTGCAGCTACTTAATAGCTGGATAAGGCAGCAGATTCTGTGGACAAGTAAGAATAATTATATAAACGACACCCAACATTCTGGATTCAATTAACAACGAGGATATGATGTTTATTAAATGAATTTAAGAAGTTTTAAAACATAAAAAATCAACTAATTTTTTT